GGCTGCGCAGCCCGCACGGCGCCGCCGCCGCCGCCAGCACCAGAACCAGCGCCGGGACCAGCGCCGCGCGCCGCATCCTGCTCCCCGCGCCGAGCCACGGCCGCCCGGAGCTTTTATAGGGAATGGGATGGGGCGGGATGGTTATGCCCCCCCCTGCTGCGTCTCCAGGAGGGATTTACCCCCCTCAAGCGCTTTGGAGCTGCTCCCGGGAGGAATTCGTCCCCCCAGAAGGAATTTGGACCCCCCCTTGTGCCCTCGGGAAGGAATTTGGCGCCCCCCAAAAGGGATTTGTCCTCCCTGGGGCTCCCAAAAGGGATTTGTCCTTCCTGGGGCTCCCAAAGGGTATCTGTTTTCACCCCAAGTAGGAAATTTGCCCCCCTCATATCCCCCCAAAGGGAATTTTTGCCCCCAGATGGGGAATTTGTCCCCCTGGGGCTGCTCCAAAGCCGGACTTCTGCCCCCAGGGGGCAAATCCCAAATCCCACACGGACATTTATAGCCCCAAAGGGGGATTTACCCCCTCTCCTGGCATCCAGAGGGGGGATTTAACCCCCCCGAGCTGCCCCACATATGGATTTACCCCCCCTTTTCCCTGTGCTACCACCTGGCTCCCATCGTCCCCTCCCCGCGGCGCAGCCATAAATCCCACCACATTCCAGCCGCCCGGAGCCAAGGGAAAAACCCATCAATCCCCAGCCCCAGGGCCCCCCGGGGGAGCATGGAAAAAAAAAATCCCCTTTCCCCCCCCCAGCCGCTCCAAAAAACGGCCCCGTTTATTGGAAAAGGAGCCCGGGATGGGGGGGGCACTACTCTTTGAGGAAAAAATGCATCTTTTCGTTGATCATCTTGCGCTCGGGGTTGAGGCGCTTGAGGATCTGCGCGAGGACGTTGACCGTCTGCTCGCTGCTCAGCCCCGTCTTCTTGGTCTGGAACTTCTTGAGCAGGTCCTTGGTGGTCATGGGCTTGCGCGTCAGGTAGCGGCGCACGGCGTCCTCCGTGAGCTGCACGTCCCTGCGCGGGGACACGGCCGGGGGTGACGGGGTGTCCCCGCGGTGCCACCTGGGCCGCTGGCCTTGTCACTTACCCGCTGGCCCCGTCACTTACCCGCTGCTCGGGGTGGAT